AAATTCAGCCAGCGCCCGAGGGCCCGACAAGAAGCCCGCAGGCGCTGATGGCAGTCGAGCTTGAACGTGCTTGAACAGCAAACCCGTTTGAATCGTGTTCTTGAAGTTGTGTTGCTACCAGGCCGGGTCTGAACAGCTGCTATTCAACTGAGAATGCTTGTCCGTGGACCGTTGAACAAACGATATTGGTTGCACTGGGTCGAGGCTGCTTTTTGCTGATGTGTCATCAGTGGCTGAGTGACACCAGTCACCAATACAAGACCTTTCTTGTAAGCAACACAAAATAGTGAGATTTGGACTCTTTTTCACCCTTGAAAATTAGGTAGTCCCCTACTCTGTCAAGAGGAGGGTTCTGTGGGGCTGAATGGTTTGATGACCCCCAAAAACCACTGCATCAATTCCCACACTTGATCCACATTACTCTCCGTTATTCATGTAAGATGTTTCCGGTCAAATCATGATGTTCATTCAATGTTGATTACAAGCCGCCACCAGCAGATATTTCTGGTCCTCCCCTCATGATCCGCCCCAGAGTAGGGGAACGGTGCTTGCACCACTATGGATAAAAATAATTGTAGGCCTGAATAAATATAAGACATCACATCTATGTAAGTACTTAATACATGCACTTAATGCGAACCGGGACACATCTCCCTTCCTTTCTACATGTACACTTTCTCACCACCAATTACTGTAGTATTTCATTCAATTCGTATGGTCACGGGTCACACCGACTTTTTTATACGGAAAATTTCGCATGTCACAGGGTCACAGACCAATTTTTTCGCCTGCCGAACAATGCCGAGCTTAGCCGAGATCAAATCATGATCAAATTTCCTTTTTGGGCGATGCCGGCCGTCGCATACGAAAGGTTCCATTCGTATTTGAAAGTCACACGTCGAACTGCCATTCGAATTGAACGAAATACTACAGTACCCCCTGAGACATCAACACCGTGTCCTTATTTCTCGCTGCCAGATCAGCCAATTTCCTTTGAATTTCCGCAGCCTGGGTGGTCTGTGATGACCTTTCAAAGAGGATGCAAGCCTTTTGCCAAAGCTTCTCAGCTTGGTCCATTCTTCCTGCCCTGATGGCTAATTCACCCATCCTTGCCATGCATTCAGCCCTGCTGCGGTGAACATCCATCGTGGTAAAACCCTCCAGGGCTACTTGAAACAAGGCTTCTGCAGATTCATGATCATTTTCAGAAAGCAGCACATCCCCCAGACAACGGAGGGATTTGTGGAAATTCAATTTGCTCTTATGCCTGACGGAAAGAACCAGATAAATGACACTGCGTCTTGATGCACATGGAAAATCAACACTTTGCCACAGTGTGATGTCCGCCAATTTTTCCAGCGCATAAAATGTCAGGCCTGGCCCTTGGGACCACGAGACCTGTAAGCATTCTTCAAACATAGCCTTGGCCTGGATCCAATTATGTTTTTTAAGCTGTAGGCTGGCAAGAACCGCCTGACAAGAATACAACTCAGCCTGGGATTGAACCTCACTGAAATATTTTTGAGCAGTGGCAATATTGAGTTCCACACCAGGTCCCCCAACCTCCCCAATTTCAATGTCAATTTGAGCAATATTGAGCGCAGCATAAGCGTAATTTCGCTCAAGAGCAATGTCAGGCCTTGTTTGAATAAAGATATCCCTTGCTTTTAGATATTTTGATTGTGACTGGTAGATGGTTCCCTCTACATGCATGCTACACACATAAACCACCATATTTGGTCCAGGACCACACAAGTCTAAAATTTGCCTGGCTCTTTGTAGGGCATAAATAGCCTGATTATGGTATCCTAGTCCCTGAGAGCACCGGCCAGAGCATTCAAGTCAGAGCCTCGACTGACTAACCCATCATAGCGATTTGATGGGCTGATGGCTACTATTGCTCACTAACTACGGGCTCTATCAAAATTCTGTAAAGGCTGATATCTTTAATAACCCCTCCCCCATGCCCTCAGTATATAGTTGTAGTCACAGAGGCCACCAATCGCAGCCATCAGCCCATCAAATCGCTATGATGGGTTAGTCAGTCGAGGCTCTGATTCAAGTGCAATTGCTTCAGTCGTGAGATTTCCAGATATTTGGGAAAGCCTCTGGGCCTCTGTGGCAACTCTTTTGCCAGCCTCATATTGACCACATCTACAGTGTATGTTGGCAATTGCTCCCAGAGTTTCCGCCCATGCAACAAGGTCTCCTGCCATTTTTGCAATTGCTAAAGCCTTCTGAAACCAAGCCATTGCCTGTTTGAAACCATCCTCATTATGCATGCAGTAATGTGAACCAAAGGCATGATACAGTGAGGCTGATGGTACAAGTTGAGCAAAGAGAAGGTGCAAGTTGAACAAAAAGGGAGAGAGACTCACATTCCACTGCAGGATCATCGAAATGCCGCAGACAGTCTAGCGCTTGAGCAATCAGAAGTTGTGGTGTCTGCATTGCTTGTTCTGTGCCCCATTGAAATACCGTAGCAATGTATCTAACTTGAAGTTTGTGATCAGGTTGTTGGGATAACAGTTTCTGAACCTGCTCCATTATTCTGGACCGTTCATATCGCAGCATGACCCAGTGTCGAATAAGTGCAAGGGTGCATTTCATATGTTGCTTCAAGTCTGGATTTTCGGGGTAGAATCCCAAATATAACAGCCTTTTGATATTCCTGGCATTTTGGCGAATGTCAGGAATCAAGCTTTTTGTCTCCGGAGATCCACAGTATTGTTCAAACAGATTTATTGGACCATATAACAGATGATTTTGAATTGGCCTCACCAGTTGGAGTGAAATTGGATGGAAATGCTGCATGTGCTCCTGAATTGGAACTAGTGATTTGATTCTTCCCATTACATCCACATAGGCAAGTGATGTTGCCAATAACACAGCTCTACATGATTGCACATCATGAGGAAAGTCAATTTGCTGGAGCTGGCTGTTTGATAGTCCATCCGGAAGGATTGACAAAAGACTCAACAGGTGCAGTGTACCTGGTACTGAGGTGAAGCGTGGGCTTGTAAGTGAGCTGTTGATGAACAGGTCCAGATTTGATCCTCGTTCATATCCTCTGGAGAGAAAGGCTGTGTGTTCCAGTTCCCACTGTGATAACACACTGGGGCATCCATCGCAATCTACAAGGTGTGCTATGAGATCAATGGCCAGAGGCATATTGCCTGTTCTCTGCAGAACCTTGTTGACTTCAATTGGATCATGAATGTCATCAGCAATGTCTATGAACATTTGCTGAGCTGCATCATCTGAAAGGGGTTCCAGAGGTTTCAGAAATGGCCTTGTCCAGTGGACCTTTGCCGGTCTTTCTGCACCCCGCATGGTGATCTGTAGAATTGATCAACACAATATTGATCCTGCAGACAAGAAATGTCTTACGATCAATGAGAGACGGTCTATCTCAGTGAGAAGTGCCAGGAATTCTTCAACACCAGTCCGCACGGAAAGTGGATCCCATGCAGTTTCCAGGTTGTCCAAGATAAGAAGGCACCCTGGCTGTTTTTTCAAAGCCTGATTTACACTTTTGATTGGATTGTTTCCTGTCTTGAGACCAAGGTGAGCTTCAATGAGGCCAGCTATTTCAAAACCCGTGGTAGCACATTCACATGGAATGAACCACCGTTGAGTATACAAATCAACCACCCGGGGATCATGCAAAGCTGCTGTGGCGAGTGTTGTCTTTCCCATTCCACCTGGACCCAGGATTGCCATCCGAGCAGGATTTTCAGCCTGGGACAGCATCACAATGATGTTCTCAAGCTCTGAGTCCCGGCCTCGGAATATTTTGGGTTTGGCAGGCAGTATTGAAGTGGAGTTGCAACTTTGAAGATGTGTAAGTAATGAGTTCAGGGATTACTATCAGATAAACTTGCCTTGAAATTGAACCATTCATTGTACTGGGATAAATCTGTCAAGAGTTACAGATTGCAGTATTACTCGGAGAAGTTGGCTTCAAACCAAAGAGGAGTTATCCGAAATTTCTCCATTGGATATGTTCTCAATAAGGTCAAGCAGTTCTTGGTGTTTCCTCTCAGCAGCTGCCTTGATTTCTTGACTTGAGTCCTGGGTTACGGCTTGGGCATCAATCTGAGTGATATAAATGTGATTGAATGTCTGAGCTCAAATTGATCAATCACCTGAAACACAATCAGCGCATCTGCCATCCCTGCGTGGCATTTTTTCAGCAGAGCCTTGAGCTCATTTTGCTGAAACCATTGTTTGACCAAGTTCCCCTGTTGTTGGTCTTCCATGAATGTATGTATCTGATACAGTGTCCTGAAGCAACCTATGTAAGGAAAAACTTGGCCAAATTCAATGTTTACTTCATGAAAGTTCCAATGTAATCCAGAGTTGCCACAGACAAGTTCGCCGGAGTGTTTGAGGTCAGGAGAAGAGAGGCAATGGCATAAAGCACTTGATGGATATTTTCCATCAGTCGAATACAGTGTTCTTTGTTTTTCTTGACATTCTGAGCTTCATTGTGAGAGCTGACCAAGTAATTGCCCTGGTTTCCTTACCACAACTTTTGATATCAAAGATGCAGTGGTGTTCAAAATTGCTCCAACAAAAGGGGTTCGGAAAGTGTGGTTGAGTTCTTCAAGAAGAGTAACAGCTGGTTCAAGACAGCTTATGATGGTGGTGAGCTGATTTGCAGTGTTGTTGGGCAAGTGGGGCATCTTGGAATTAACAAGGGCCATATAGAGACTTACTTATATACCAACCATGAGATAGCACTTAGGGCCACCCATAGTCGACCATACAACTTTATTAGCATCATGCAATGGCAACCATCTTTAATTTGAACTATCTGGGCCTTTCATAAATCAAAAACAACATTGAGCACGCCGGTTACAGGTTAAACACTGTTTCAACCCCAGCTTTACGACCAGGTGGTTTACTTGGGGATTGTCGACGTGGCCCGTTCGACACGGGTGGGAGGTTGGTTATGTAAATGCCCGGATTTTCTGTGCGAAAATATCAAAACAGAATGCCCACTAGCCGATTCGAACGACCGATCTTATCATTGCTTACGAGTGATACGCTTTACCCCTGAGCCAAGCGGGCAATACGGTATGGGGAGCACTGTGAAACCACTATATGGTACCGTACTAGAAAACGAAATAACTGGCAACAGCGTTGATTTCGTGGGTTTACTGGTGGTCCTCCAACACCAGTCTACTGTATCGCGCCAAGTGAACATTCATTCTAGAGTCCAAATTGAAACCCGTAAAAAAACTGATACAATTACAGCTTGTTGGTTCCATATAGCAGGTCTACTAAGCCAAGGCCGCAGCGAGCAACTTGTCGAATAACGGTGTACCAAGCCCAGCTTGGGATGAATCAGTCAAATTGCCGACCACGAAGTTATATTGAACACTCACTGAGCGCATCCCACCCGGCGACCGCATCAAACGCCACCTGTGCATCACCTCAGTTCCTCGTCGTAGGCATGAACGGAAGCAAAAATAGAACTCACAGACGTCGCGGGACACACAAAGCCCGAATTATGCCCAGCAGTCACATCCGTGAACGCCCCCGACGTCGAATACAAGAACGGGTTGAGGAACCCTAGGACCGGTTTACCCGCAGCGATGAGCTGGTCATTGATCAACGCGATGATTCCAGCCATAGTCGGGGAGCTCGCGCTCGTCCCGCCTACGAGGCCCGCCTCCCCACCGACAACGATTTCAAAGTTCCACCCCTGCACCGCGACATCGGGGTAGCCCCTCCCAGCCTTGTTGAACGTACCCTTGAAGTTGGATGGGACGGTGGCGAGGAAGCTGGCTACTTCTGCCGTCTGGTACGATGGAGTGGGGAACACGGCGGAGAACCCGCCGCCGGTGAAGTTGATAGCTTTTTCGGGAGCGAAGCCTTGAGTTGAACCGACGCTGGTCAAGAACGGACACGAGGCGGGGAAGACGGGCATAAATGCGTTGTTGTTGCAGACGGAGGTGGTATCGTGGTTGCCTCGAACGCCACCGTCGCCCGAGGCGAAGAGCACTGAGATGCCCCGCGATCCGAGAGCCATGTATCCGTTGCAGATTTTGCTGTGGAGTGTAAGTTTCCAGGATTTGAGAGCGGTGATCACTCACGTAGCCATGCTGCTCCCAAAGGACGACTCGGTCGATCCATAACTCGTCGACATCACAGTCGGAGGCTTAGCAACACCATCAAGGAATGTCGTAGTATCGAGGAGGCTAGTAGCAAAGTTGTTTCCACCGACGGAGAGGAATTGAGCGGGAACATCCGTCGCAATACCCACGGTGTATTGAACGTCAAGATCCGCCTCATCGCCCGCGTCGTTGGGGTTCTGCGTATTCACACCACCGTCTGTGGTCAGGAGCGTAAAGGCCGTAGTCGAGGGTATGTCGGTGCGGAGAAGTTTGAGGAAGTCCTACGGAAATAATTGGTCAAGTGGCCGGAGAGAAAGAACGATACTCACCGTCAGATCCGCTTGTTGCGCAAACTGTTCCTCGTACGCAGTCACCAGTAGAGCGTTGGTCTTTTGCGTTGCGGGCGTCGCCGGAATATTGTAGAGAGCTTGAAGACACGCAGGTGTGATTATCCCAGTCGCGACAGCCGAGTTGCACGAGGCACTGGGAGTTCCGCGGCCGAGCAAGGTTGTCCCAGGCATCGGAGTAAGCCGCGCCTTGGGCTCCACGAATTCCGTTGTGGGGTGTACAACGTCGACGTGGCCCACGAGCTCAGAGGGGAGCGACACGGAGAGGGTACGCACGATGGGTTCCGTGAGCTCGGGATGTGCGAAGGTCTCGAAATTGGCGGCAAAGAGCGAGTTGGCCTTGGAAACGGGGAGAGTGATGGAGACCCAATCGCCATTCGGAGAGATGACTTGAGGCGATAGCCCATTAGCAGAGGCGAATGCGTTGAAGGCCGCAACCGTCGCAGCGGAGGGTTGCATGAACGATTTCACCTGAGCGGTATTTGAATATCAATTGGAATGAAACAAGAAATACAACGCACATCTTCCATCGACAACCATTGACGGAAGTCTGAGCTACCCGGCGTCGAGATTGACATGAGCTTCTCCTGCAAGCCCGCCACGTTATTCGACGTCAACGCAACGCGGAGAGTCAAGGTGTCGCTCGCAGGGGCAGCTCCTTGGCGGGTGAATCCACTCGGCACAGCTGAGCGGCTCTCGTGCAGCACCATGGTCGATGCAGAGACCGTCATGAGCGCTGAGAGCGCAGCTAGAAGCGTCCGGAAAGCCATGGCGTCGGGGACCAGTAGTACACGAGTCGCTGCTTATAACAGGTCTGCCCAGATACCCCTGAACAGGACCGACATTCAGGTGGCCCGCATGGTGAGGCTGCGATAGCTGTTATCCATGGGAAGTTGCTGAGGGGAAGAGAGATTACCGGAGAGGCCTGCTCGCACGACCAGCCCAGCGTGGGGAACTGATTACGACTGGAAGACTGCGCACACGAGTTGGGTTATATCCAGCTTGTGAAGCCGGCGGGCGGCCATGAAGTCAGAGGAATTGTGTTGGTTATACGGAATCTGGAAGTCTGCGCGAACACAAGGTGCGGGTCGGGAGAGCCCACGGTGGGGTTCATATTCCGCAAACGAACGTCGTTTGGTCGGTGGATGTCGCTGAGAAGTTAAAAATTGCTCCCCGAACCGGGCCGCAGCGAGAATAACTGCTACCGATGAGTAAACTCTCTTTTCAGAAGCGAGAGATAGGGTGCTGGTCCGGTCGTGCTTCCTTGAAGTTCGTGAAGTAGGGTCGACTGAGGCGAGGAGCGTGTAAGTAACTCGTCGAAGGGTGGACCAGCTGGCGAGGAAAAAAGCGATAGGTTCAGCCACCCTCCCAGAAGCAAGCTCCGAGATTGCTTCCAGACGCCGGACGGAAGCCCACTTCCATAAAGGACATGGATGTCGGGAGCAAGAGGTAATCGGATCAATTCGGATATTAAATTTCCCATCTGCCAGCCAGCTAACTCTGACACCAGCGCAACGAGGATAAGAGACTCGGCATGCGAACCCAGCTCTTATCACGCTGGCTCACTATCCAGTCTTTTGCGGCCAGGATACGCGGCGGTGGCACGATTCTTTCCCCGTTCTCGTGGCACTCGACGTCCTTATCGCTCGTTATGTAGCACAGTCCTCGCCAGCGCAATGTGGAGCATGGAGTCCATATCCCTCTCCCGTTGTCGACCTCAAGCTGAGGATCCGATGGATTGTGCAGGACCACTGAGACCAGACGCCGTCTATCCGGCCTCGCAGCTGCGGTGGGGAGAGGCAGCTCAAGCACATCCATACGTCGCGATCGATACGGGTGCATGTGGATGTCGTCCTGTACGCCTCTGCTTCGCCTACCCGAGTTTTCACTGATATTGACACCAGCCTTCTTTCGGCGCGCCGCCTCTTACTCCTCGTCCCTTATCCGTCGATCCGTCCAATTGACGTTGCGCGGAGGTCGATGCCGTGGCGAACGAAGCTCACATCTCTGCGGGAGGACTGGCTTGGGGTAGCGCCGCTGGGGCGGGCTGCTGGGCAGTGTGAATGAATGCATTTGAAGAACGCCTCGGGTGCCCTAAAACATTCTCTCTCTCCATCATGGCGATGAATTCACGAAACGTCGGGATGGGTGGATGGAAGGAGTTGACTGGGTGATAGGGCGAGTCAATATATCCATTGTGGTCCGTTTCTCTTGGTGAAGGAAAACATACAGCGACTCATCTATCATTGATTTCCCACTCTTCGTCCAAATCTGTTTCTTATGCAACGCCCCGGCTGAGGAATCGACACGGGAAACAGCTCTTCCATAACGGGCTGTTTGGTTCCGCGGATGCAAATTTGGTTCCGCGCGACAGGGGTTGTCAGGGGTTGTCTCATTGCTCCTTGCTCTCCGCGCTCATCTACCACACCCGCCCACAAAAAGCTTAACACCATCTTTCAATGCCCGCACTCACTACCTTCTCATCCAAGGCCTTCGCCGCCACCGCCAGCATCATCACTGGTACCAGCGAGTGGGCGAGCGTCCCGAGCTCTGCGCATGCCACCCCGACGCCCACAGCGCCCCTCTACCAATATGTGGCGAGCCCTCTCGAGACTGCCCCGCCCAGCGGTCCCTCCCATGCCGACTGGGTATCAACGCATACGTTCCTCATCTGCATGGCGTTCTTTTTGCTTTTCGGGGTCGGTTGTGGTTTCTACAAGTTGTTGGAGATCTGCAAGGAGGCGAGGAAGATGCGTCCAAAAGACCCTGAGGTATGTTCTTTAGAAGTTTCAAGGATTCCTTTGATGCTGACGATTCGCAGATGGGGCAAGTCTTCCACGCTCAGCCGTTCCAAGCGCCTCAGATTGCCGCACCTCCCAAAGTAGCGACGAGTAGCCGAGGCCGACCCGTGGTTCACATGTACGTCTCCATGGACGAGGTCCTGCGAGGCCACCGCTGCGTCCTCGTCTGAGCAGCTTCCTCTTCGACGTCTCGTTTCTCTCCACGGCATCCAACCCCAGCTCGGTCATTCGTCACGGTTTTCCTCTCTCCCATCGTCTCTTTCGAAAATCGCACAAACCTCGCTGGACCTACCTACCCAACCGGCGCCAAAAAAAATCAAGATAATCGCAGGTTCAATAAACAGGCGTGTAATCGGAGCGCGCGAACGACGACGACGGCTGTGTGCCACTCGAGAAAACTCAACAAAATATCATTTGGTCTTCGGTCGCCGAGGGTGTATCTTGATTTGGTTTCACCAATTTCGAGTCCGACATTACTTTTCGTCTCCTTTGGATTCAATGTTCGAAACATCGATAAAAGCAACAAAACAGGCGCGCAGGAGAGGGCGGACGACGGGAGGCTGTGTGCCATGATTGAAAAACCTACAAAATATGTTTTACACCTGTCGTCGGCGAGAGAGCTGGTGTTTGACTTGTTTGTCCGGGTTTTCAAATGGGATTCTAACTTCTTCTTACCCTTGCTGCATTCAACTTGACTTGTGTGGGATGCCGGTTTTCGACCAGAATCATCTTGTTGTGTTTTTCCGGTACGAAAACGAAAGCGACCAATTCGCCAAATGAATTGAGAACCCGAATCGAACGGC